AAAAAAAATTCAAAAAAAATATTATATTATATATTATATATATATATATATATATATATATATATATATATAGTATATTATAATTATAATAATAATATATTTTAAATATAAAATATCATACTATAATAATAATAATAATAATATATTATAGATATAAAATATTATACTATAATTATAATAATAATATATTACAAATATAAAATATTATATTATAATTATAGTAATAATATACTATAAATATAAAATATTATACTATAATTATAATAATAATATATTACAAATATAAAATATTATATTATAATTATAGTAATAATATACTATAAATATAAAATATTATACTATAATTATAATAATAATATATTACAAATATAAAATATTATATTATAATTATAGTAATAATATACTATAAATATAAAATATTATACTATAATTATAATAATAATATATTACAAATATAAAATATTATATTATAATTATAGTAATAATATACTATAAATATAAAATATTATACTATAATTATAATAATAATATATTACAAATATAAAATATTATATTATAATTATAGTAATAATATACTATAAATATAAAATATTATACTATAATTATAATAATAATATATTATAAATATAAAATGTTATATTTTAATTATAAAATATTATATTATAATTGTGAAATATATATTATATATATGTATATTTATCTCTTATATATATTTTTATCTCTCGAAAACTGTCGCGCTTGTAGCGTTTATACGTTTCTGAAAAAAGCTCCGACGAAATCTCGCGATCTCCGATACGTTCAGAGGACGCATTTCGAGCGGCCGGGATTTCTTGGAACGGTTGGCAAAGCGGAAGATCGCCGATCGAGATGCAACAGCGTTTCCAGGAATCGTTCGACGGCTCTCACAACCCGGGAAAAAATCCGCGGCACGTCGAGACAGAGTAATTTATCGGGTGCGGAGGAGTGTTCGCTAAACGGTTGCGGCGGCGGCGGGGAGGGGGATGTATCGGGGCCGGGGGATCTCGATTGGTCCGGCCCGTGGCGAATCGGAGCATTCATCTCAATTAGAAGGCCCGCGAACTTATCGTGTCCGCGAGCCCCGGCTACACGCTCCGCGTCGCTCCGCTATCGAGGCGAAGCGGCGCTCCGCGCCGAGTGATTGATGCGCGCCGCGATTTCCTCGAGGAGAGACAGAGAGAGAGAGAGAGAGAGAGAGAGAGAGAGAGATAGAGCACCCCGGCTTCGAATTTCGTTGGCAAATCGTCCCGGCGGTGCCTCGGAGCGCGTTTCCCGGTCCCCGACGCTGATTCCGGGCCGTCTACTCTCGATACCTCGTGCTCTAATTGCTCGTACGCGAGTGTTTCGGACCTCGGCGTCTATCAATAAAAGAGTTTCCGCAGCGATCCGCGCGATTTCTCCGCCATTTTTCCGACTCGTTTCGCGGAAATGCATGTCGCTGCTCCGTCGACGCATCCGCCGCCGCCGCTGCCGCGGTTTCGAGCCCGGAAAGCTTCGCAATTTCAACGCGAGCCGATAAAGCTGTTCGAATTCTAGCGATTGCTTCTTCAACCCCTTCGTCGTTAACAATTATCTGAACGAGAAAGGAGATTTGTATCTACAGTATAATGTCTCCCTAATTGACGCTTAGCTTGTCCACGAAAATGGACAATTTTTTGGGAAGAGGAGATACGATTGTTCGAGCCTTGTCGCTCGTTTTTTATGGTTATCGATTGTCAACAACTATAAAAAAGAGTTGCAAGGCTCGAACAATCGTATCTCCCTCTTCCCAAATTGTCCATTTTTGTGGTAAATCTGGGCGTCAATTAGAGAGGCATTACTGTACAGTAATGTGCACAAAAATGGACAATTTGGGAAGAGGAGATACGATTATTCGAGCCTTGCGGTTTATTTTTATAGTTATAAATTGTCCACAATTATAAAAACACGAGCCGCAAGGCTCGAACAATCGTATCTCCCTCTTCCCAAATTGTCCATTTTTGTGGACAATTTAAGCGTCAGTAAGGGAGACATTACTGTATTGCACGGCAACTTTTACTTTAACGTTCTAACAGAAATCGCAGTATTTTGTATGCAGACGTAACACAGATATGTGTCGACGTAATAATAAATTACATAGGCGTAGGACTAGCATAGGGAAACATGCGCAATATACAAAACACGTGCGATATGAAAATATTGGAAAAAAATGATATTTTTGGAATCCTCTAACGATGAAACAAATTTCTGTTCATGTCCTGTAAAATTGATCTATCACTTTGCCCTAATTCAATACCAAGATATGTCTAAATATTGAAGTGCGAAGAAAAAGAATATTTGAAGTTTTATTTTCCTAATAATAAATTAACTTA